TATTTATTTTATATAAAATAAAAATAGTACATTTTCTTTACAGTAAATTTAAACTTCTATACCTTTTTAATACTTTCATTTTACTAAATGATTTCACTTCTGTAATAATCTGCTAAATTGTCTTTTTTAAAAACAGACCAACCTTAAGTCTGTATTCAGAACCATTCAATCGTAGTCATTTCATAAATGAGGCCCATTGTCTCCGTTATTACTATTACTACAAATGTATAATAAAGGAATAGTTGCCTCCCCCCTCCGATGTACTCACCCTCAGATCTTCAGAGATCTTCAGATCTGGAGAAATTTAGCATCACATCACAATGCATCCTCAGCAGTGAATGGGTGCCGTCAGAATGAGAGTCCAAACAGCTGATAAAAACATCACAATAATCCACAAGTAATCCACACAACTCCAGTCCATCAATTAACATATTGTCAAGTGAGAAGCTGCACGTTTGTAAGAAACAAATCCATCATTAAGAAATTTAATCATTGCTTTCTCAGTGAAAAAGTCATCTCGTCTGAATCGGGAGAGAAATATGCACAGATCAAGCATGGTTTACAATCGAAAACTTTATATAAAAAATTCCTTAAATATGTTGGTGGATTTTGATGTGGGAGGACAACAGGAGATGGACATTTTTACTGGAGGAAGTGTGATTACGGATTATGGATTACAAACACACAGCTTTTTAAAAGTGTTTAAATGCCATTTATTAATTATTGCTTTTAAATAAAGAATGAAAAATAATAAAGATTAATTTTACTGCTCTATAACAGTCTTGGAACAAATCTATTAATCAGAAGTAACAGAAGTCCGTTGTTCCCTCCTTAGAGTTTTTTACTCTTATCTTGAGAAAGTACAAAGTGCAAATCATCCTCCCCTTTCTGATCATAATTTGCAAACGTTCATCTACACCAGCATTCACATGACTATGTGGCTCACTATGAGGGAACTTGGCATAATTTTGTTCATTTTTGCTCTAAACCACAACATTCAGGCCCAAACAACAAAATCAGGTAAGATTTAAAAAAAAAAAAAAAACAACATATTCAATTATTTTATGAGCGATAAAGGGGTTTATGTCTGGTTTGGTCTTTGTTTTTACCTCATTACTTAATGTTGTTAAATGTTGAATTTAGAAAATACTATTCTCAAGGTCAAAGAAATGACCAACAGTGTTGGGGAAAGTTACTTTTAAAAGTAATGCATTACAATATTGCGTTACTCCATAAAAAAGTAACTAATTACGTTACTTAGTTACTTTTTATGGAAAATAATGCGTTACGCTACTTTTGAGTTACATTTTAAATCTGGACAGGGCTTACTTGTTTGTTTTTAAAATAAAAAAGTTATATTTTTGGCAAATATAATAGCCTTTTCACACCAAAAGTGAAATGAATAAGCCTTAGGTTGAAGAGAAAGTAAATTTATGTCCGTACAGTAGAATGCAGAAGAAGAAATTTCAACACACTTCAGCAATAAAAAAAGACACCATATTTATTTTTGAACTACAGTTACGTCAATAAATTGGAAAAAAAAAGTAACTTGCGTTACTTATTTGAAAAAGTAACTCAGATGTTCTCTTGTAAATTAAAAAGTAATGCGTTACTTTACTAGTTACTTGAAAAAAGTAATCTGATTACGTAACTCGCCCCAACACTGATGACCAAATCACACAAAACACAACCATATTTTATGCGATGAAATTAGTTAAATATGATATATATATGCATGTGTATGTGTATATATGTATATATGTGCATTTATATGTGTGTGTGTGTGTGTGTGTGTGTGTGTGCACACCTGATTTTGAGGAGGCAAACTGAATGTAGAATTGCAGTTTATATTTTAAGAAAGCAGAAAACCTTAAACCGCATAAACACATTTCATTACACCAAATACACAAAATAATGTTATTTTAAGCAACATCATATGACCCCTTTAATAGTTAAAAAAAAACTAATTTAAAAAACAAAGCTAGAAGTATAGATCTGTTTAAAATGTTGCCTATAGAAAGATGTACTTGCTTGAACAATTTTTATATTTAATAAATTAACTTATATTTTATGGACTAGGGTGTAATAATACTCCATTTGAATTAGTTTGAATTGTAATTCAGTAAATTCCACTTCCTGTCATTCCAAGTCAACTTCCTGTGGGCTGTGGCCAATTTAATTCAGATTCACACTCATGAATCAAGAAAGCCAATTATAAATTCTGAATTTTGCACAACCCTGTTGTATTTATACAACCCTTTTTATGACTCTATATAAAGTGTTGTATGAAAAAAAAACTATTTTTGCAAAATTGTGATGACAAATAAGACTTTAAATGAAACTGAATTTGCATAATATTTACAGGAAGTAAAACCTGTAACATTAAAAGTGGAGAAAGAAATAGTGGAGAAAGGTTAATGGAGCTACAACAGCATGTACAATTAACAGAACCAGAATACACATGGATTGGGATGGAGTCTGGATAGATTTCACTCATAAAAACTAAAACATTACAACATTGGCCAGTGAGTCTACACCTTTCATGACACTGGGCATTGCAACTGATGTTATTACTGAGAATCAGGCAATTGATGTTTCTGTTTGTTTAGTACAATTGCAAATTTACTTGGATTTACCACTTCATATGTATTCAAAGAGAATATTTTTAACTGTACAAACAGGTACAAATGAAACCGTTGTCTTGAGTTTTTATAGGACACAATTAGGAGGACACATTGGCTGCCCAGGTCTAATACCCTAGAAATCATTAACATACTGTAAAAAAATTGCAATATTTACAATCATCATAAAAACTAGGTGTGGACTTTGCCAGATTAGTTACACATTACCATTCAAGATACAAAGATCACTCCCATTTCCATGGTTGTTTCAATCATTGTTGCATAATGTAGCAAATGCAATGATGGTTTTTTTTTTTTAGTCTTTGTTTTTAATTGTGATTCTCTAAATCCTGGACACAGATCTAATGCAGTACAAATCACTTTCTCTGTCTTTTATTCCCCAAAAATCTAGCGGCCTGCAGTCTAACGGCAGATGTAGGGACAGGATCTGAGTCCGAGGTTAGGGCTTATATGTACTACGATGCAGAAAAAGACAACTGTTATCCATTCCGATACTTTGGGAGTGGTGGAAATGCAAACCGTTTCATAACAGAGAGGCAGTGCATGAGAAACTGTTCAAACAGAGCTGATGAACTGTTTCCTAAGGACGGTAAAAACATAATTGCTTTTATATATGAAATGCACATTATTATGGACTGATTCATTCATTTGTTAATTCAATCCTGTCCAAACTACGCCCAAGAAACAATGCTTGACTTAAGATTGCTATCTTCCAAAAAAGCCAGGGGAATGTGTAGGTCACTATCTCCGGTATTACTACAGTCCTGAACATCACACATGCAAGTCTTTCTACTGGACCGGCTGTGTGGGAAATGGAAACCGATTCCTCACACTGAGCTGGTGTAATGCCACATGTTACAATGCAGCAGGTATGTGGCTAATAGTGATTTTACCCAGAGATATACAGTATATACTGTATATGCAAAAGTGCAAGTTAATGTGTATTTGTTTGAATAGATGAAGGCCTTGAGGACTATTCTGGTGAATCAGATGTACCAGTCGGTAAGTGAAACTTAAATAGTAAACTTAAATTTTCAACTCATTTGAATTTTTTTATTCAGTTATATTAATGTGTTATTATCCCATCAGGAATTATCTTGGGTGTTGTGTTTGGTCTTATTGGTGCCGTTATTCTCATTGTGGTGATTGTCTTTGCTGTCAAGAAAAAGTATGTCATTACAGTATATATATATTTTTGTGTTTGGCTTTATTGTTTTTTACTGGCAATTTTTTTGTAGTTACATGTTAACATGGAATTTTCTAGGCCTAGCTCAAAGAAACATGGGAAAAAGGATGGAAAGTCTGCAGAGCAGCCGCTGAAAGAGCAGGCCATTGAGATGGGAGGTGGAGAAGCACAGCCAGACACTCTTGAAGTCTCTTCAATCCAATCCTAAATTTTTAGCCACAAATGTACATTGAAACTTTTGGCCAATCATTGTTTGCATTTTTTTTTTTAAGATGTACAGGTAAAAATGTTTGACTGTAATAAAAAGGTACATGCATAATATTCCTGTTGCTTATTTACTTGTACATTATACTTGTGTCTATATTTGGAAGTCCATTTCTAATTTGCATTGTTTTATATGTCAGCTAAACTGGTCATATCACAATAAACATATAAAGTAGAAATGTCTGTATGGTCTTAAATGCCTTGAAGTGTTGAAGTGTGGCACAGTTTACCTGTTGGTGCTTGGAAAATGAATCATGGGCCAGGTAACTATATACATATAATTTCATAGCGAGACAACATGTGTACATGATGATAAAGCAGAGGGTTTCAAATAAAACAATACCATAAAACTGTGAAAATTATATATATATATATACAGTCAATTAACAGAATTAATGTTATTATATTGCTTGTCATAGTTTTGTTTCGCTATAAAATGTATAAATAATTGCAATAATAAACATAAAATAAGTGAACATTTGCAAAACAATTTATGATGTTAGTCACTCATAGTTTTAGGGTTTCACTTCAGAAATAAAATCAAGTAATGAAAAATTAAATAAAAATAAGCTTAATAAATAATTATTATATTTTGTATTTTTATCATTCAATTTATTTCTACTAAATAAATAAATACATACATACAAGTTAACATTTACAGAACATGTTATGTTATTATATTGCTATCCATAGTTTTATTCACAGCATCATAAAGTTTCAGAGCACCTCCAATATAATATTGACTTGTAAAATAGTTACACTAAGACGAATCTCGTCCTGAGAAATCAACATTTGCTCATATTCCCACTTCCTCTCTCTCAGTATTTATCACTGGTCTGCCTACCAAGGTTTATTCGCCGCCCTCGTTCTGAATGAATCATGTCTTTTTATCGATTAATACACACGCTTGTGTAAATATCCCATTAAAGGAAAAGTAAAGCAAACTCAAGACAGACAATGATCTGAGTGAAGACTGTTTAGTACGCTCTCTATTTTTCTGTCTAGGTAGGGCTCTCAGTAGGTTTTGAGACAACCCTAGTGTGTGCATGCATGTCTGCTCTCTTAAAGCATAACAACACACTGACTTCACTTAACAGAGCAACATCACTCCTCAGCATTTAAACGTTTAAGAATCCACCAACTGGAAAGCGAAAACACATTTTGTGCCTATTAACACACACTTTTAGAGTTTAAACTACTACAGAAATCACCCAGCAGAGGACAGACTGGGCTAGCTAGTGCTTTAGCTAGCACACAGACTCATGGAGTGCCCTCACCTCAGCTCCAGTGTCTGTATGACGGTGGATCCGACCCGGTTCCCCAACGGTTCCCCTTCCTCATGGTGCTGCTCTGGTGAGTTACAAGCGAATCATAATTCATTAATAACGAGTAATAATTCAGTCAGTTTCCTGTAAGAGCTAGCTCGAGCTAGCCCAACCGGCTAAGTGCCTCATTGCTCTCAGCAGCTCGCGCTTGGAGACTTTTGTGTTTTTGTACTAATAAAACTGAAGAACATATAAACATATAATATGCCGTGGAATTATAATATTCAGTAATTGTGCTTTATTAAATATTAAACCCACAAACCGAGTAGTTTAGCTTCACACAGCAGTCAAACTTGCTAATTTGAGTGTGAAAGGCGGAAAGCTTATTGTTCTATGAAGACATTTCAGGGAAATGTTTTGTTTTAAAATAATATTAAACGATTGTCACAGTTTCCCTTTCGCTTTCGCCAGTGTGTTTCACCCTTTGAGAAACTTGAGTGAGGTTTTCTTTTTCGTAGTGGCATTTAATCTTATATTGTTGTGATTGGTCCTAATTTGTCATTTGCTTTATATCGAACTGTTCATTTAAGGTACAAACCTGCCGATTTACAGTAAATGATTAATATTGATCTTCATATGCAGACAATATAAAGCAATCTAGATGGGCAGACCTCAAAATAAACCAGAAATAATGTCTGCAAACGTTTTTACAACATAAGTGTAATGCTATTACATTCATGGCTTTACATGTGCATGAAAGCACTAAAATACAAAGGATCTGAAAACGTTTTCTTTCCTTCTTTTTGGATTTGGGCATTTACTATAGATAGGAAAGTATTAAGAGTGGCAATTTAAAAGTGAGCTATTGTAGATGGTAATTATTGGCTTAGTGTGGTACTGCTTTTACAGGGGCCGGTTTGCTGGAAAAAAATTTCCCGAGAACATTCGAGGAAGCCATTAAAGGTTGGAGAGACCTTTAAAGTAAACCATTAGGTCTCATGGCAACAAACTTGTGGAAAGAAGTGCAGGATCTAGTGTTTGTTTGTATTATCATCAGAATCTCCTTGAAATGCATAGATTTAATCTACAAATAAAAATAAAGGAAGTAGGTTTATTAGAGATATTATTTATTGGGGTGCATATCATCAGATTTTATTTTTATATATATTTTTTATTTTTTTTATTTAGTCATTTAGCAGACGCTTTTATCCAAAGCGACTTCCAAATGAGGACAATAGAAGCAATCAATTGTAGTATTAAAACAACTAAAACAGATCCAAAACTAAAAGCTAAAACTTTATAAATACTACCTATACACATTTTAAAAATAAAGAGATTAAATAAAAATGACAAATGCATACAACTCTAAATAGTGGCAGACAAATATATAAGCCTACCACCACGCAAAAGTTTGAGGTCGACACAATTTTTTAAAAATGTTTTTGAAAAGAGTTTCTTATGCTGTATTTTCTTTATTTTTAAATAAACCTTTGTAACATTGTAAATGTCTTTGCTGTCACATTTGATCAACTGTGTGCGTCGTACCTGGATAAATGTATTTATTTGTTTGTTTGTTTATAAAATTACATTTATTTATTTATTATTTTTTTATTATATCTTCCAGACACCACATTTTTGAATGGTAGTGTATTTGGCTAAAATTGGGCTATTTTGAATTTTTCGCAATTGATAAATTCTGGTAAATATAAAATATTTCCTGTTTTTATATATTTTATAGTGAATATAAACAACTAGTAAAATAAGTGTTTATTTAAATGTAACCATTTTGTGTAAATCTTATTTGATGTCATAAATATTTCAGGCATTCCACTCTGTAGATATTGGCATTGATGATTTAAAAAACTATTTCAGACGACAGGTTATATATATTTATTGCTTTCATACTAACTGACATACATCAAATGAATACAAAAAAAAAAATGCTAGTTATACTTTTATACCAGTAACATTACCAACATATCATGCATCCATGATTATTTCATATGTGTATTTTTGACCAGACCAGAGTGAAGATGAATTGACATGTTAGATTACACTGAAAACCCATGAACATTTAGGGTGTGACGCACAGTGGCCCCTCAGCACACCCACGGGACATGAGAAATGCCCCATATCTCTTGTTTAACACATTTCACACTTATGAAACATGTCAATCATTAGTACTGCTAAAAAAAATTAATTACTTAAATGACTGAACTAGTAAAACAGAACTATGACCCACCTTTAATATCATATAAATGAATACGACTTCAATTTCATTGCACTTTATGGCAGATTCTTTGGGAAAATGGTACACGAGTCACGACATACCTGTTTAGGTGACTTTGTTCCTAATAACAGCGTGGTTTTGTTAGAACGTCGCTTCTTTTGTGTGAAGCGCATTATATAAAGCATGTTACAATAGCACAGCATTGGCGCTTTCTTAATCAGGACACAGGCGGTCAGCAGGTACGAGGAGACGGACGGGGTCTATTGACTTTTTCCACATTTGTTGGGTCGTGCACAGACCAGCATTCACGAGAATCGACCGTTCCTTAGCAACAGCTAATTCAGATGCTTGTTGTGCGCTCAGAGGGAAGGTGATCAAGGCAATTAGAACAAAGCGCTCTCTCCCAGCAGGCCACAGCCAGAGATTACATTTGCACGAGGTTAACATGCCACCTTATCTCTGCACATTACAGAGGTCTTTATTATACACTAGGTTTCATGTCTTGAGTATGTGGGTCTGGTTTCATACATCTGTAAAATACAAAATTATGTTTGTAAAATTATAAGAAAAAAAAAATTATTTAAAAATGATTTAAGACATGATATAAATGTTATAAAGAAAAATATATGGTGTAAAATATTTATTTATTTATTTTTAATAAAAAATATTTTTATTATTATTTTTTAATCCCAATATTACTTGTGTGGGTCTAGAATAGAGCTTGAAAAATATGCTTATACTTTTTTTTATATTTTATTATATGTATGTTATATAATACTTATTTCAAGCATTTTAAGCCCAAGAGAAGCTGCCAATTTTACAAGTGTAGGCAAAATAATCAATAAAAAATGCACAAATATAATACTACATAATACATGTTGTAGCCTATTGTAACATTTTAAGCCCAGCCTGAATAATTTACTTATTTTATTATTTCAAATGTAGGCTTAGCATACAGTTTTAAAATGCTTTGAAATTAAAATAAAAAATAAATAAATATATATTTATATATTGTCTTTTTTGTTTTATTATCCATTATATTTTCCTTATGTATATTATAAATTACTTACATTTTATCTATCTATCTATCTATCTATCTATCTATCCATTTTTAAACCCAAGAGAAGCTGACTAATTTACATGTGTAGGAAAAATAATTAATTAAAATGATCTTGTTTTATACATTTGTAAAATGCCAAATCATATCATGGATGTTACTCATATGCTGTATATTTTTATATTTTGTAGTTTGCCGGTCAAACAAAAGCCCGTGGGTTTGCCTGACGTGTTTGAACGTGCATTGTGGAAGGTGAGTGCTTAAATTGATATTTTTTAGTCTATGTGGTTTTGTTTCTTTATATATGACTTACAGTAAATATTACATGTAAATTCATAGTTCCTTGATTGTTTATTTATTTTATTTATTTTTTATTTTTTAATTGAATTTTTGCACACATATAAAAAGGTATTACATCTGTTACAAAATGAGATAAGGTGTCTGATCAGAAGAAAAACAAGAAACAAAACCCAAGGGCCACCGAAATAACAAAAACACAAACAACAAAAAAAAGGATATCAAAAAGCAACAGACAATACAATAAAGTCTAATCAAATGAACCCCCCATAAGGGTCTAGTCAGAAGGTCCAGATGTCACAGTAAGGTTCTCAATAGTACATAATATAGGGCTCCACATTTTGTAAAAGGCCCTCAGTGATCCTTTGGAGGAATGTCTAATTTTTTCTAGGTGGATACATTGCAAGATTGTTTAGAATTATGTTTAAGCTGTATTAAAATATTAAAATGTACAAAATATTAAAATTGTTTTAGTAGATAAAAGTGAATTAAAATTAATTACATTCTAATTATTAAAATATTAAATTTCACACATTAAAATTACCTTGCATCTGTTTCCTGTGGCAGGTATGTAAACGGCCATGCAAAAAAGCATTTCGAGGAGATTCAGGCACCAGGAGGCGGTCAAAGGAAGCCAGAGCGAGAAAAGTCGAGTGAGAAGAGTCAGCAGCACTCTGTGTGTATGGACTGTAACAGTTATAGCACGTTCTGGTTAGTTTCTTCCCTATTTTTCTTTCCAGAAATATTTTTAAATGGACAGTAGTAAGATGAGAGTGTCTTAAAGGGACAGTACATACAGTATTTTTCAGTGAACAGTGTTATGTGTTTTTTTTTTTTTACCTTCATGCCATTTTCTTTCCTGTAGTTACAGATGTGATGAATTTGTGGTGAACGACACAAAACTAGGGCATGTGCAGAGGGTCAGAGAACATCTGCAGAGTTTGGAAAAGTACGTCTGGTATTTGTCGATGTGTATCTATCCATTTATCAATCATCATCACTTAAATGCATGGATTATATTATTGTTTTTGAACTGATTTATTCTCTTTTTTTCAGCTCTGTGTCTAATACTGACAGACAGAGGAAGAGAAAACTGTCAGACAGTTCCTCTCCTGACAGCAAGCTGAAGAAAGACAGCGTGAGTTTAATTGGATTTTAGATGAGTGTGTAAAAGACCCTGGTGTGCTAAGATATGGTTCTGAAGAACTTGATGTGTCCATCCACATATCTCACCACATATTTAATTGTTAATAATTACTGGAAGGTAAAAACTTCCCCGTGCAGTGCAGATGACTCAGGTTTCATAATTCTTAAAATTGCTGTCACGTTGTCATTAAGCCCAAGAAAAACTGCAGGTTTTACTTGTTTATTAATTTGTAAATAATTATTTTATATAAACGTATATATATATTTTTTTAATTTTTAATTTTGTAATTAGGGCTGTGCAAAAAATCGAATGCGATTAAATTTTGTATGCATCATTTGTCAGATGTGTTCTGGATCCATAATTTTCTTTAATGTCACCACACAGGACAGCACCATAGCACAGTGTGCCACGGGCCTCCGAAACCTGGGCAACACCTGCTTCATGAACGCCATTCTCCAGTCCCTGAGGTAAGAGCAGCCCTCACGACCCCGAGCCAAGGGCAGCCGGCGATGCGTAGCCTGGCAGGGTGTGGGTGGCCCGGCTGGTGGAGCCTCAAAGCCTCCCTGCGCTCTGCTGGAGCATCTAGTATGTACTGGCAGGTAACGGTGCCTGTGGCCTGTGAGCTGGCTGGAGGAGAGCTTGGTGGGGAGCCAGGGGACGGATTAGGCCGTCTGCCTGCTCACCGCAGCCAACCTTACGCTGGCCAGGCTGATGGTTAAACCGCAGCAAGCGACTCGTGCCAAATATCACATAAACCGTTCACCCTGCATTATCACGAACTACTGAGGCAAACATTCAGTTACACTACCGTTCAAACGTTTGTCAGCAGTAGGATTAAACAAAATAATACATTTATTTAGCAAGGATGAATTAAATTGATTTTACATCTACAAAAAATCTATTTCAAACAAATGCTGTCATTCTGAACTTTATTTTTTTTATCAATGAACCTGAACAAAATGTACCGTTTCCACCAAAATATAACAGTAGCACAACTGTAATAGCAAAAGTAATAGTAAGAAATGTTTCTTGTGCTAAATCATGCTATTGCTAATTCATGTTAGAATATGCTAGCAATGCATTAAATCATGCTAGCACCATGTTAAAACATACTAGCAATGTTGTAAATAATGCTAGAAACATGCTAGCAAAGATAATGATATCAACACGATAAACATGTTAGCAGTGTGCTAAATCATGTACATACATTCTAGCAGTGTATTAAGCCTAGCAATGCATTAAATCATGCTAGCACCATGTTAAAACATACTAGCAATGTTGTAAATAATGCTAGAAACATGCTAGCAAAGAAAAATAATGATATCAACACGATAAACATGTTAGCAGTGTGCTAAATCATGTACATACATTCTAGCAGTGTATTAAGTCATTAACAATGTATTGCTTTTTAATTAGTTTTGTACACAATGATTTAATATGCTTGTAACATGTTAACAATGAGCTAAATCATGCTAGCAATGTGGTAAATCATGCTAGTAACAACATTCTTAAATATTCTAGTAATGTGTTAATCTTATTAGCAACATGTTAAAACGTTAGCAATGTGCTAAATCATTAGTATGTTAACAAAATGCTAAATCATGCTAGCAATGTGGGAAATCATGCTAGTAACATGTTAGCAATGTGCTAAATCATGCTATCAACATTCTTAAACATTATAGTAATGTTAAATCACGTTAGCAACGTTAAAACGTTAGCATATTAGTATGTTGTTAACAAAATGCTAAATCGTTCTAGCAACATGTTAAAAAGGCTATAAACATGATAGCAACACGTTAATCAATCTAGAAATGTTACCAACATACTAAACCATGCTAGCAGTATGTAAATTCATGTTAGAAACACGTTAGTAACATATTAAATCATGCTAGCAAGATGCTAAAAAGTGTTTGCAACATTTTATTGACTTTCTCTGACTACTAAAATCCTTCAAACTTTAAGATTTTCTAAGTTATTTAAAAAGTTATTCAGACAAGGCTTTGACAAGTCAACATCAAAGTTTGTCATCAAACTGCACTATAATTTTAATTACAATTTTAATTATTTTTAATCTTTCATTTGTCTTTTGTTGCTGAGCCGTTATCGTTTTTTTAAGGCCTGGATAAAACACTAACCCTACCTGAAAAAAAACATTTCCATTTGTGCACTTCTGCTGGCCATGATCCATGGAAAAGGAAGCCTTGGCAAGGTTACCATAGTATTCTGGCATACTGTCGATGTTTAATTTGCATTTGGAAAGATATACCAAACGGTCGTAACTCAGAAGGATCTTGAGTCATGTTTAAGACATCTCTGTTTGGTTAAACACTGGTTTTTGTTTCCCGTCTCCAGTAACATCCAGGTGTTCAGCTGTTATTTTAAGGAGCTGCCCTCGGTGGCCTTACGAAGCGGAAAAACGGCAGGAAGGAGAATGTACCACACCAGAAGTCAGGGGGACAGCAGTGTGTAAGGTCCTCTCCACTGAAATTCAAATGCTGTCCTTTATTTTTAAAGAAATAGTCAGAACATACTTTTCATAATGTAAGCCCTTACAATATATCATATACAATACCATACTATTCTAAATATTTATGGAATGGTTATAGTTTTTGTTCCTTGAAGAGTTATTATGCCTTGACAAACATCTACTGTGAAAATGATTTTTTTTTTTAATTATAAATTAATAACATATAACAAATTATATAAAATCTAAAAAAATATATATAAAATGTGAAATTGTGATATTTTAGATGTATTTTTAATTAAAAAATATTTGAAAATATACTTATACTTTTTATTAACTTTAAATTACATTTTTAATTAACTTTTTTTATTTGAGTTATGTAATTATTTGGTAAATTATTAGCATGATAAAGTCTTAAAAGGGATTTTTTTAATGTTGAATTTTATGGTTTCTAGTTTTCTCTGGCCCAAAATTCAGCTCACAAAACACACTATGGTTGACCGTTGACTCAATCCATGTTTATCCTTACTACAACCCATATTTAATAGTCTGAGTCTATTTGTTGTTGTTGTTACCTTGTTTTGTAGCTTGTTTATGGATTTTGAGGATGAGGGAAGCCTATTTATTTTGTTATCCTAAACACAAAATTATAGGATGAGTTACATTGTGTTATTTGCAGTGGCGTAACTTTGCTTTGAAAAGTGGTGGGGACACCACGCAACTCGTTTTGCTAGTTTTTTATTTAATAACCTAATTTACTTGGGGACTGGGTTTAGAGTTGGACAAACTTAATTTTGGCTTTTCAAAAATACATCGATGTACCAGGGGCAGCGCCAGAGAAGTTTTGTCATCTGGAAAATCATGCCAAGTTTCAGGTATCATAAAAATCACAGTTAAATAATGTGTTGCAGTTATTCCAGGATTTGTCATCCTGAGCTTTTATAAAATATACCACAAATTTCACCAAAATTCAGTTGAATTTGTTTCATTATTCAAGCACTTAGAAAAATATTTTGTCTATTTTGTCCATTTTTATTAGACATTGGTTGGCCGATATGGATTTTTTTTTTATTATAGATGAATGGCTGATGGCCATATAGATAGATAGATAGATAGATATGCATGTGTTTACATCTAAGTACACATGCATACAACACTTTACCCAAGTAAATATTATTAATTATTAATTAGAAAATTAATGAAGAAGAAATTTGACCTTGATAAAAAAAAAAAAAACGAAAATAAACAGATTTATACTTTAGGTAGGAGCTTCCTGATTTTGTAATCTTATTTTAGTATTTTTCACACATAAAAAAACACATGAAAATAAAAAGTGCAACAGTGCACTCAATAATCATAATAAATAATAATAATAAATAAAAGTTTGTGCACACTGAGAATCATATTTTCTCAAATAAGGACCAGTTTATCAGCGCTTTTTCCCAGCTTCCAACACTTATTATCTAAAAAAGACAAAACTAATTGGGCAAATGTATCGATAATTTAAAAATGCCAAAAATTTGCAGATATATCAGCCTTAGCAATATATATTGGTCAATGACCAATTTTTGCTCTGTTTTGTGTACTAAATGTATTTAATATTACAATATTAAAAGTCAAATGTTTAAATTTGACTACTATAGTATTATCAGTAATAATATTGCATAATATTAAACCGTAAAAAATGCGATGTAAAGTGTAAAATTTAGTACTTGATTGGAAATTATACTGATAATGTTGCCGCGAATATAGACATTGTTGCTGATATGGTGTTAAAACATAGATAGATAGATAGATAGATAGACAGACTATATTGCCAAAAGTATTGGGACACCCCCTTCTAATGAACAGGTTTGACTACTTTTGTAATTTCCATGAGTACAAATCTTAATGTTTAAGCACAGAATGATATTCTAGGGAATTGTATTTCTAATTTTATAGCAACAGTTTGTACAGGACCCTTTTCTATTCTAATATGACAATGCCTCTGTGTATAAGGCAAGGTTCAAAAAGAAATGATTGATTCAGTCAGTGTGGAAGAACTTGACTGGTCTGCAGAAAGCCAAGTCCTAATCCCAGCTGAACACCTCTGGTGTGACATTAAATGCAGACCTTGAGCCAAAAACTCATCACCAAACAACAATGACTTGTACATACGGGTACAGTCATTTTAGACACTTCCAAAACAGTTGCAACAGAGATGGAAATACAATTTTTAAATACATGAATTATATTTCCATCTTTGTTGCCACAGTTTTGGAAGTGCCTTTTTCTGTTCTAAAGAAGGGGGTGTCCCAATACTTTTGTTCATATAGTGTAGATAGACAGATCAAACAATTTAGATATCAAACAATAGATCGATCAATCAAACCATTTTTTTCTTTAAAGTAACTTGCTGACAAATCATTCAAAATAATACCAGCAATCTCTTTAAGAAGTACATTTTGACTTGTCTGGTGTATTTTGCAGGGGTTACCAGCAACAGGATGCTCACGAGTTCCTGCGTTACCTTCTGGATCATCTCCACCGAGAGATGCAGGGGAGCAAGAACGGGTCGCCCAGTCCCACCCTGTCCCTGGACCAAGCCAAACACACCTCCGAGAGCAAATGCTGCATGTACGAACATATAATCAGCATTTGTACCCCTCAATCAACCTTTGTTTGAACAAACAGGTCATCCTTTCCAAAACTTACACCACTCGATGAGCAAGCAACCCTTCAAACACAAACCAGGTGCCACAATATTTTAATATGAAAAAAAAAAAGCACACTTGTCTTCAGTGAACTACACAGATGGTTGGGGGCAAATTTCTAATTCGAGGTAGGTCTATCTCAGCAGGCTGCCCCTCGTTCCATATCTTCCCTGCTAGTTTAACGAGTACGTGGGCAGCCGTGATAAAGATAACTCTTTACGCCACGCAGAGGGAAGTCTTTTTCGTACACAGACACGGCTGTTCCCACATTTGCCTGCTGCTAGAGCCAGAGCCACCCTGTTGTGTTTGTATTAATAGCTGCAGACAAGTGAGGAAGCCCTCGGCCAAGAGCTGCGAGGGTGACCTGAGTGGATTTGCCAGGGTTATTGAAAAGGAAGTGCAGTGTTGTGGCGTGCTCAGTGGATTGTGCTGAACAAAATGGCAGGTTAATCCTGCTGCGAATAGACGGACTAGATGTGCTTTCACTAAGTCCTGATTCCGTCAAACGCTCTCGGGATGGGACTTGTGTGGGTTTATTTAATAATGTAGAGCGGGTTTGTTTTTTTTTGTTTTTTTTTAGAAATGGGACCTCCACTATCGTTACATCCGTGTTTGGTGGCGTCCTGCAGAACGAGGTGTACTGCTTGATATGTGGCACCGAGTCTCGAAAATTTGATCCATTCCTAGGTGAGCCGACAATTCGGTCTATAAAAGCTTTGAAGGCCTCTGTCGCTATGGTTACGCTAAATCTCACTCTCCTCCAGATCTCTCATTGGACATTCCCAGCCAATTTCGAATCAAGACCATAAAAGACCAAGAGCCGAGGCCGACATGCACTTTAAATGGTAAGAGATGTTATTAGATACTATTACATGGCTGCATTTTGGTTGATTTTGTTGACTTAAGGTCATTGCATACCGAGTCCGAAATATTCGCACGTTAAAAAAGAAATACGACCTCACGTTGTCAATCACGTTTACACGCTGCCTCCGAAACTTTTGTCCGTCGTAAAAAAATTTGGATCAGGTTCGATTTTCTGCGTTTTTGCATCCGTAGCAAGCATTTTGATAGGAAAGGATGACGAATACGAAAAAAAATGCATACGAAAATTTCGGACTCCGTGTGCTAGTACCTTAAGTCAGTATGTACTGTCTCTCAGATTGCCTTTGGAGTTTCACAGACCTCGAGGAACTGGATGAAACGGAGCTCTACATGTGTCACAAGTGCAAAAAGCGACAAAAGTCCACCAAGAAATTCTGGATCCAGAAACTTCCCAAGGTGACGGAAGTGTAGAAATATCAGATTTTTAAATAAATGGTGTTTTATGTCATTTGTAATGGTTATACAATGTCTAATCTGTGTGTAGGTGCTTTGTTTGCATCTGAAGAGGTTTCACTGGACAGCGTTTCTGAGGAATAAGATTGACACCTATGTAGAGTTTCCAAAGCGTGGCCTTGACATGAAAAGCTACTTGCTAGAGGTGAGTGAACCATTTGTTTTTTAATTGTAGTTTTGTAATAAGTTGTATGTTATTTAATTAGTTTTTAATACTTAAATAAATAACTATAATATTTAATTATTTTATATAAAAAGATTTAAAATAATATTAATATTACTGTTAATTAAATAACTATATACTAATTTAATATTTAATAATTTATTTTTAAAGATAATATTAAATAATATAAATATAATAATTTTATATAATATAAAATATAAAATAATTTTTTTTATATTTAAATAAATAGCTGTACATTTTTATTATTTTATATAAAGTAGTGAAATATTACTATTAATTGAACAACTACGTATTAATTTAATATTTAATAATAGTTTTATTTTTAAAGATAATATTAAGTAATAATACAGAAATAATGTAATATGTGTTTGTCACTTAAATAATATTAAATAAAATATAATTACACATATATAAAATAAATTAATAAATTGCAGAAACTCTTAAATATTAATGATAGTTATATTTAAATAAATTACAAATATATGTACTATAATATAATAAAGTATAATATATAAAGTATAATTAAATACAATATATATTAAATAATAGCAAGGTAATAATGTAATGTGTGTTTTATTTATATATAATTTTTTAATTAATATTAAATTAAATATAATAATTTTATATAATATAAAATATAAAATAATTTTTTTTATATTTAAATAAATAGCTGTACATTTTTATTATTTTATATAAAGTAGTGAAATATTACTATTAATTGAACAACTACGTATTAATTTAATATTTAATAATAGTTTTATTTTTAAAGATAATATTAAGTAATAATACAGAAATAATGTAATATGTGTTTGTCACTTAAATAATATTAAATAAAATATAATTACACATATATAAAATAAATTAATAAATTGCAGAAACTCTTAAATATTAATGATAGTTATATTTAAATAAATTACAAATATATGTACTATAATATAATAAAGTATAATATATAAAGTATAATTAAATACAATATATAATAATATAATAAGTTATTTTCTTCAATATAGTAATTATTTTAATAACTATCACAAAATTGTATTCATAATTGTATCATTTAATGTAAATATTAGGTAATTATTGGGGCTGTCAGTTGATTAAAATTTTGTATCTAATTAATTACATGATGTGTCGATTAATTAATCTAATTAATCGCAAAATAAATTTGACTTTGAAAATACCCACAAAAGATTATTTAAAGCTATTTTGTGTTAAATGAGAAAGTATCAAGTAGACATTACAAATTGTAGCTTTAGAAAGAAACATTTTATTTGATTCAACATAAAATGTATTACACACAAACATTTAAGCTACAACGGCCTAACATAAACTATGGAATATAAAAAAAGATAATTTGAGAAACAACTCCGTATTTTTTGTTCATACAATGAAAGTCATTAACTAAAACAGCTTTGTTACCAGTCTTCAAAATACCTTCTTTTATGTTCCACAAAAGAAGTGTTTGAAACGACATGAGGGTGAGTAAATTATGACAGAATTAAATTTTTTGGGTGTGAACTAGGCCTATCCCTTTAATGCTATTATTATTATTATTTTATGAAACAATACTCTAAATAAGAAACTAAATCTGCCAGCAGGTGGCGGTAAATGTCTTCATTCGATTTGTTCAAACGGCTGATTCATTCAGGAATGAAGTAAATGGCTCTCTATGAATGAGGCTTTGAATCATTGGTTCACACGATTCGTTCAAAATGCGGATTCATTCAGAAACGAAACCCCGCTGTGTTACTCGGAGACGCGCAACAATTCTGCAATAGCTTTAAGGTAATATGTTCTCTGCAAAATTGAGCAAAAACACATAATATTGTTGTGTTTAAAATATAACACACTATCAACATTTTATTTACTGTTGTATAAAATCACATTTAAACTCATGATATTCGGGACAAAATCAGCACTCGGGGAAATCAGCAGGGATACTGCTCCTCGTGTGATATCGTATGATATAAATATGAGACTAAAACTCATACAGGGGCATTTTTTGCACCAATATTTTGAATTTTAGGGCATAACTGCATTTATGGAGTTGTTGCCCTGCATCGTATTTGTCAACAGTCAACTGTATGTACTGTAAGATGATGTACAGGTCAGTGCGTTAACTGCGTTAAAATATTTTTATCGCGTTATTTTTTCACAATTCATTAATTAAGCGCTTTAAACTGACAGCCCTAGTAATTACAGGTGCATTTCAATAAATTAGAATGTCGTGGAAAAGTTCATTTATTTCAGTAATTCAACTCAAATTGTGAAACTTGTGTATTAAATAAATTCAATGCACACAGACTGAAGTAGTTTAAGTCTTTGGTTTATATAAAGCATATGATTAAAACAAATATTACAATATTATATAAATATAATTTTTAGTTATATTATATGTTATCTTGTTTTATGTAATATTGATTTCATAACAATTATGTAATTCTGCTCAGCCTGAAAACAGCTTGCCAGAGAGATGCCTGTATGATCTTGCTGCAGTAGTGGTGCATCATGGATCTGGGTAAGTAAACGCTGGCCTCCTTCTGTTAATAACAGTATAACACTGTTTCTCACTTCCCACAACTGTAATAGAGAAATGTTTCATTTGTAGCACACATCTCATTCACTGCAGCAGCCTGAAGTTGGGTTTCTTTGTCCTCCACTAGGGGGCGATGTTATATCAGTAGCTCTGATGATCTTTCCGGTTTAACCAATTCACACTCTGTACAGATAATCAGATCACTATCCTCTCCCACAGCATCGGCTCAGGACATTACACGGCATACGGGCTTCACGAGGGCCGATGGTACCACTTCAACGACAGCACGGTCACTCTGGTCAGTGAGGAGGCTGTGCTGAAAGCCAAGGCCTACATTCTGTTCTACACAGAGCACACGGATCAAGAGAGTCCAGCCAAGCTTTAAGACTTCCTCCAGATCAGTTATCGGACCTTCATATGTGTGCCGTCATCTGTCTCTTGTCTTATGCTACCCAGTTCTGATTTTTTTGTGTCACAGAACCTCAATACAAACCGAATTGCTGCTTGCGTTTCGACTTGATGACTTTTCGTTTAATAGACTGTCCCAGTTTTTTGTCTTCATCCGCCACCAGTGTGAAATGAGATTCCAAAGGCAATTCTTCAGGGGATTTTTGTCTGCCGAATGAACTCAAATTGACTGTAGAAACAAAATGCTTTACAATTGATTTTTTTCCTCTCCTCACTGAGTGTTTTTCCGTCGTCTGAAATGATGACAGCTGTCACGTTTCTGACGACTCCTACTCACGCCAATGATCTGCTCGCTGCTCCAGGAAAAACCCTTTCTGTTCGGCTCGGAAATGCATTCTCGTCTCCTGAGCCTGCGGTTCATTGATCTAGGTTGATGTGGAGGCGTTTCCGAACTAAAACTTGAAATGTTTGATTTTACGTGACAAAACAAGATGTCGTCTGTATCACAAAGCAGTAGTTGACTGCGATCACCTCACTAATGTGAAAATGACTTTTGAAGGGTCCAGTAGCTCACGTGTCTTGTTTCCTTTACGCTTGAAAGTGTTTGACCAGATGTACACTTTCTGTCCTTTTAGAATTAAAGGGATGCAGATTGTGCAAAAGTTGGTTTGCGCGTTTATTATATTATTCTCAAAATTAAAACGTATGCAATAAATTATTGTATTTACTGGTCCATTTTGCAGCTTATGTTGGCCAAGACCTCACTTCACAAGTTCTGACCAGTGTTATTTTAGTAAGTGTAGTTCTTATGAATATTTGTTGAATTATTTTGTTTGTAATTTTTTTGTTTTTATTTTTATTATTTTATTATTATTTTTGTTTTTAGTTATTTTAGTGCATTAAGTTAAATGAGAAATGTTGCATGGGCAAATAGCTGAATTAAATATTAAAATAAGTTTAAAAGTTTCATGTCAGTTACATTTTATTTCAAGTAACAAGTTTTTTTTTTCCATGGTTTTAGTTTGTTAATATCTCTGGTTCTGGCTGACATTTAAAAGGACCAACCATTGGTTATTTTATTTTTATGGAACAGTTAGCACCAGGGAACGCTGAAATCCAGCGATTCCTTCTTCCTCACAATTGTTAATTCTTGCAACCTTGTACCTTTTAAACTTGATTTTGTATCCAAAAGTTGTGCAAAATGAGCCAATCAGATTATAGCTTGCCAAATAGAGAAAGTGCATGCCATTTGTGTGTGTGTGTGTGCGCGCAAATATGCATCAGATGGTCCGTGGGTGTGCCGTCTGAGGCTGAGACTAGCTGTGCCCCACTTCTGTATCACACAATGCAAATAGGGTAAAAAATTGTTAGATTATCTCTGTTCAGCAAAAAAATTAATAAATAAAAGGTAGAGGAAGTAAAACTAAAAATGTGCCACATTTGATAATATTATGTGTCAGTTCGATGTCTTGCATTGCCAATATCATGCCTTTTCTGTTGTCAATTCTACAACATAAAAACAAGATAATTTGATTTATTAATTATATATTATATTACATTACATGAATATTTTATTTATACAGTATATGTATGTGTGTGTGTATCACTGTACATTGTGCAAAATCCAAGGTATTTAATAGAACACACCTCTAATAACAATAGTATTATTGTTCATATATATTTATATATATATATATATAATTTATTTATATGAACAATAATAATAATATTATTATTAGAGGTGTGTTCTATTAAATACCTTGGATTTTACACAATATACAGTGATCTCAATGCTAACGTGGGTGTATTTTGTATACAAAGGAACACGCTGTTCCTCAATTTGAAGTGCTGACACTGAATTGAATGCTTCTGTACGAGCTGTTCTCAAACACGGGTGTGGGTTCAGTCAGTGTCACAGCGCACACAACCGCATGCACTTCCTCTGTTCTGCACATGTAATTGCTGCAGGTGGAGTAGCGTTCTCTTCCACCTCGCTTGAAACAGAAGCAAGTACGTTCGTTCTCTAATCTTTTTCAAAAAACTACTTCCAGTGTAACCCACTGTGAAATGTAAACGCTGAATGGTTTTTAATGACGTAAACCGCTCCAAAACAAGAGCGTAAGAGGGCGTGCTCCGTTCCCATTGTGAGTTCTTCTTTTCCTTCCCCCTCGCTCTTTCTATCAATTGCTGCCACCCACACGGTCACTCTTGCATGAGCTCCCAGGGGCAAAACAAACACCGGGGCTCCCCACACGCCACGTGCCAGAGGTATCGTCCCTGACAGGCAGGAAGAAGAGGAGAGGAAGAACAGTTGCTCGACTCGCTCAAAGGTGTCTATCTGAAGCCGTCATACTTTAGAAAGGACAACAAAGTTCATTCTCTCTCTGTCCCGATAGGCCACAGCTGCCAGTAAGATCACGTTGCTTGTGTTATCGTTATCAAGTGCCACTGCGTCAATCGCGGCACGTTATGACTCAACTGAGAGTGACTCAAACAGTTCAAGCTGCAATCGCACTTCACCCGAGAAAGATTTGCCAGGTCTGCTGTGAGTCATCAAGTGATGTTGTCAGGTGCCATATCAAGAGTAGATATTGTGTAGAATAATTCCAGTAAGGAGGCAGGAATGCTATGCTAGCCTAGCTTATTTTAAAAGTAAACTTTGCTCTGTGAACACAAGTCGTGCAGAACTGCAGCAAAGAAATCAATGCCTGCCTTATTGCCAAAACATTGCTCGGTTTGTTTGAGGGTCCTGATTTGCCTGACACAGCAATGTTAGCTCAACCAATGGTGTGAGATTCGGGCGTGGCTATCTGTTTGACTGACCAATAGCAGATGAGGGAATGTGTCATAATTTTTGTAATTCTGTTTGGTGCTGCTAATGGCGCAAAATTACTTTACTGTGTTGGGGAAAGTTACTTTTAAAAGTACTGCATTTATTGTGTTACTGCATATAAAAGTAACTAATCGTGGTAGTTACTTTTTATGAAAAGTAATGCATTACTTTTGCGCTACTTTTTGTCCCCTGGGTTGGGCTTGCTTATTGGTTTTAAATAACAAAAAAACCTAAAAGTATTTTTTTGGGGGCAACTGTAAAGGCTATTTCACCAAAAGTTAAATTAATAAGCCTACAGCTGAAGCAAGTGCCTCTGCACTTACTCCCAGTTTCTCTCAACATGGGACAGGAGAGCTGTCAGTGAAACAAATGAACTAGCGTTACTTATTTGAAAAAGTCAGATATTTTGTTGTAAATTTAAAAGTAATGCATTACTTTACTAGTTACTTGAAAAAAGTAATCTGATTACGCAACTCGCATAACTTGTAATGCGTTACCCCCAACACTGCCTGTAATACTGCAAGAAATGTATTCATTGAATCGGGTAAGTTCAAACTTTAAACTGGAAAAATTGTAAGCAAGGCAATTTAAAGCACACATTACTCAACTTTTAAAACCTGAACAGATTTGAAAACACGAGGCATCATACACTTGTCAACTTTGTAAATGGTTACAGAGAAAAAACACTGAATGACTGAGGATCAAGTCATTCCCAACATAAACTCATGCAGAAATGCTGTTTTAAAGTAATTCTAAAATCTACAACATGTTTGATATCCTTCTTCTGGGTTGAATCATAAGCTGCACCAGAGAAAAACAAGCTCGAAAACAGCTCAAAAGATTGCATTTGTCTGTTGCATACATAATCAAGGATGTAATTTTTAATTTTTTTAAAAAAAGCAACCATACTAAAAACTGACTCTTATTCCTTGTGAGGTTTAAATTAATGTAATTATTATGCATTTTCTGGAGGGCACAGTCTTCAAAATGAGACACGGTAATAGTCTGAAGCTAAAAAATTGGAATCTGTGCCCATCATACACTACGCTATTTTCCATGAAACTCCAACTCACCAAAATCTGCAGACTGACAATGGATTTGATTCTGGAAAGTTTCTGGCAAATTGGCAGAGAGCCATTTGTGTAAATGCAAGGTGGAAACATAAGGCAGGAAAACTGTATCGCAGACAGAGACATAATCTTGTGGGCTGTGCTCTGACATTAGTTGCAACTTAAAGTCCCTATCAAACTCCTTTTCTGATCCTACTCCCCTCTCCTATCACTTCCTGTCTCTACTTAGCTAAGGCAAAAACATCCCCAAAAAGTATGTATAAAAAAATATCCCAGCATCAGACCATAGTAACATTACCAGGATTAGTACTATCCCAGCAGGCACAGGACGTCAATATAAAGTCAGGTTGACGCTGGACATGACGTCGGACAGACAGATGTCAGTATTTGATGCCAATTTGACGTTGACTTAACGTTGGATTTTGGTTACACAACCTAAAAACAACAAATATCAACATCAGCTGAAGTTGGTATTGGACATCAAATTAACATTGACATTAGACACTGAATTTTGGTCACCTGGCATCGCAACCGAAATTTAACCAAATATCAATGTCTTGGAACGTTGTGTGCCTGCTGGGATAAGATCCGCTGCTGTGAAACGTGCCGTAACAAAATAAGCTCCCCTCGAGAAGCCCTGCTCTTTATTTATTGTGTTATCTTCTTATAAACATTTGCATATGGCACCGCTAAACTGATGGATAATTTTGCGGTTTGCATGGATGGCGAGTAGCTCCTCAGTCTTAATATCATTCCAATTAGAAGCCAGTGTTATCATCTTTTTTTGCATTTTTATCTGTATACAAATGTTCTTCTTTGCTAGCTATGTTGACCTGTAAATCTCCATCAAATGTGGAGTGTCCGTGAATTCAGGAAAGCTCTGGCAGTCAAAACAAGCAAAATCCAACTATTTTGAGTCTTAATTGCCAGAAAATCTCTGGAATCTCTGGCCCATTTATACCTGGTATTAAGATACATTTTGGTTGATCCAATCACAAGTAAGCAACAGGCTAAATACAGGGGTAAACCAAGTCCAAACTGATTTGCGCTTGTCCACTTTCAAGTGCATTCGAAGGTGGTTGAAAATTCAAGTGTCCACATTGCATTTGTTGTTCCAATTTTGAACTGAGAACAACCACTAAAACAAGGGTTTAAACTTTACCTGTTATGTCCAGTTTAAATAAGTGTCCGATTGAAAGAACTTTATTTTTTCTCCCATTTTTGTTTTTCTTGTATGCTTTACTAACACACAGTAACACAGTGAGATAGTCTGCAGTGTATGCAGTCATAAAATCAGAGACCCTGCCCTCAACATCCAATCAAAAGTGGTCAGAAGAGACACATTTGAGATGCATTTACTACCAGGTGTAAATGGAAATGTGTCTCCCTTGACCACTTGTGATTGGATCAACCAAAACGAAAGCAAAACCAGGTGTAAACAGGGGCCTCAGTGTGGAAGACTGTCTTGCTATTCCCCATCCCCCAAGATGCAGGGCGCTGAGTGATAAACAGAAGTCGCCACACTCTAAACGTCCCTCACACTGCCTCCTGTCCAGGCGTCAAAGACAGATGGACCGGGAGAGTCCATGTGCCTCACACACTTCCATTTTTGACCGTGCCTGCAGCGGTCCTCCCAAAATAACCCCCATTCCTCACGACCTTATATGTCTGGGGAGAATCATGAATCCAGGCCACACGAGACACGCTGTTGTCCCATTGTTGCTTTGTGATCGTTGTGGTTGTCTCCTGTCTTGCTATGCATCTCACAGAACTAGATCAGGAGTGTTTGCTACACCTTTTTTCGTACCTAGACAAGGACAGTCGCCGCAGCCTGTCCCTGACCTGCGTACGACTAAGACAGGTCTTCCTGGACCCACATCTGTGGACGCTACTTCACTTCAGGTCTCCGTGCGAGCTGAGGAGGGACAACTATGTTCTGGGCTCTTCGCTAAGATACCTGGCTGAATGCTGGCACTCGAGCAGGGTCAAAGTGTGCAACATTGAGGACTGGATGAAGACCACATTCCAGAAGGACCTCTGCAGGAAGCACGAGAGCCTCGTCAGTGACTTCCTGGAGCGTGTTTGCCACATGTGAGTGTTTCTGTTTGTCTTGGCCTCAACATTCATTTAGTCATTGGTTTGATCTTGGACAAGCAGATGTTGCTACCCTGATATATTTAGACAGATAAAGTAATCTTAATGAATCCCATCTCCTCTTTTGTTTTTAAAAATATAGTAATGGCACCAATATAAATTTTCCATGATCGTTTACTGACCTTTGCGCTTTCCAAACAGTCAAAGAATAACGTTTGCACAGATCTGTCCCATTGTAAACAACAGTATCCAATGGCTTTCAAATGGTACAAAATACAAACTATTATTAGCATAAATTTTGTCCAAAAGCAATATGACCAATTTGTGACAAACTCAAATTTTTGTAGTTTTTGCTATAGTGCTTGAATCTCATTTGCGCTTGCATATTTTCAAACTTAGTGCATAAAGCTGTGTTGACCCTAGGTTTTACATCAGTGACACCAAATCACATTTGATTTTTGTTTCATAACTGATCAAGACCTGTCGAGTTTGATATGCACAAGAGCAAATGAGATTTGAGAGCTATGGTGGAGGGAACGATTGTCAGTAAACAATAACTTAAAGTCACCATGAAATCAAAATGGACATTGCTTATATTTCGGGTAATGCTGTGTGATGTGTTTATTATAAATGTGCACATCATTATTTTTTTCATCTCTTTAATCAAAAACATGCACATCTTTTCCCCACTGCAACAATGTCTCTTCTCCGATGACTTGTAAACTGGCATGTTTGTCCGACAGCCTGACGTGTTTCAATCCATAACCCCCAGCAACCTGTTACTCACATGAGATTGCAGCGATTTGCAAATGAAAAATATCAAATGATTTCCCAATGGATGAAATCAAGTCTCGGTTTTTTTCTCATTGAAGAAAAGACTCACATTTTCCACTTCATGCTGACTTAATTTTTTTGTACTGTTCCTACAGCCTTCATACTGACTATTTTATGATGCTTTTATAGTTTTTTTTTTTTTTTTTAACTTTTTTTGAGCTTGAAAACATCTAGTAACTGCCTTTGTTGTATGGAAAAGAGCAGCTTGAACATTCTTTGAAATATCAGCTTTTGTGTTCCCCATTTGAAAGAAGTCAAACAGGTTTGGAACAACATGAGAGTAAATAATGACATTTTTGTAAGAACTAACTCTTTAAGTCACAAAATTATCAAAATATTTTAAACTCATGGTAAAGCAAGTCACAATTTAATGTTTATGAACTCTATCTGGCTTAGGAAGGAGCATATATGTCTTTAGCTGTGAAATAAATAAATTAAATCCCTATATGAATGGAAGCAAAGACACTGCACTGCAATTTTAAACATTGTCTGCAACAACTGGCCCATCAGACCACAGCTGCAGGCACACCACAGACTAGAGGCCTGCGCGGGACGGATTTTTCAGTCCCGCTCCCACCCGTTCCCGCAAGATTCTGTCCCGCGCCCGCCCGCTCCCGCAAAAATATATCTTATCTGGTCCCGCTCCCGCCCGCGACATTCATGTTTTGTCCCGCTCCCGCCTGCATAAAAGTAATCTATATAGATTGTTTTCAGTACATTGAAGAAATTTACATGAAATGGTTCTGTAACATCTCCTAAGCTCCACAACATCCCAGCATAAACACTCCCGATAAAATATTTGTTATTTAGGCTAAGCATCAATCAGATTTTTTTAAATGCCCATCCCAGCAAAAACTTTCCAAAATCGGCAGCACGAGCACCGGCGTAAGTGAACCAGCCCCAAACCATTACTCATTTACCAGGTTCTGTTATGAGTTGAGAAGGTTTACATGGGTACAGAACGTTCAGCAATTAGAAACGTCTGTTTTCAAGGAACACAGATACATTAGGACGTAGCATGATAGTTTTTTAAGGAACAGACGTCAGTGGTGGGAAGCTTAAAAGTACTTCAGCATGAGCGTTCCTCACGTAGCCATTTAACTCAATTAAATGGATCTTCTCAAACTTCGTTCCTTAAACGTTCCATCAGAAACACATTTTAGCTTCAAGCATGCACGTCATCACAGTCTTCCACCGATAGATGCGGCTTGTGTTCGAAGCGTGCTGAGGCTGGGAATGCAGTTTGCCTCAAGTTTTGAGTGACACGAGGTCTAAGGAGTAGAGCTGAATTACCCTCTGGAGTTTTAAGCGAAGATCTGTACAGCCTCTTCCAGGCAGCCAATAATAACGGGAGACATGATGGAGCTCTGCGGTCTCTCCCGCTGCTGTTTTGCACAGTAAACTCACTTATGAGGAAAAAAGAAACTGTGATTTGGCAAAACACTCTTAAAGGGGTCATATGATGCTGCTAAAAAGAACATTATTTTGTGTATTTGGTGTAATGAAATGTGTTTATGCTCAACTAGTTGCTTATAACCGTGCCCATTGTTAACATATTGGCTGTTTATTAGTACTTATAAAGCACATATTCTGCATGACCATATACTACATAGACACACCCTCCACAGCGTCCCGAGAGTGACATTAGTCTCTTGAAAGATTACTGTCACTGTGATGACTATATGAGTTCAAAGAAAAAGCGCTGAATCCAATTCCTGGTAAATTACCGTCGTGCCACGTGTGGGATGTCTACAGAGGCCGTATCCACATGGGGAAACCTTCACGGTTTGTGTTATGGAAAATATTATGGTAGTAGGGTTTTGGCCCCCCACACCCAGCCTCATTCTCAGAAGCAAAGTAAAATAAGACAGTTAAGTCTTTGTTAGTTTTTCATTAAGCCCGTTTGATGGAAATGCCTTTAAAAAAAACCAAAGCAAACAAAACATCTGCACAAGAGATGGGCGGAGCTACGAGAGGAAGGCATGCTTATGTAACCCGGGGATGATGCGACGCATATATCTGGCATGTTTACTTCATCTGGCCAGCTCTGAAAGCTCCTCCCGCTCAAACACAATGGCTGAAAGCTGCTCCAGCAGAAAACTATCTAACCAACCGATCCACGAGGCTTTGAATTCTTGCGAGCCTCTCTCATCCTTCCTCTCCTGCTGATCCCTTTATCAGACCGTCTATGTCACCGATGGCCGTCTGTGATAATAAAAGCAATGGCACGTGTAGTGTGAGATCCGCCCCATGGCCAGGGGAAACCTTCACGGTTTGTGTTATGGAAAATATTATGGTAGTAGGGTTTTGGCCCCCCACACCCAGCCTCATTCTCAGAAGCAAAGTAAAATAAGACAGTTAAGTCTTTGTTAGTTTTTCATTAAGCCCGTTTGATGGAAATGCCTTTAAAAAAAACCAAAGCAAACAAAACATCTGCACAAGAGATGGGCGGAGCTACGAGAGGAAGGCATGCTTATGTAACCCGGGGATGATGCGACGCATATATCTGGCGAGCACCAGCTGTGTTTATGTGGCAAAAACAGCTGATACAGCAAACACTGACTTAGGGAATGGTTTTTGTTATGCTATGCTTAGTACAGTATAATACCATGCAAATGCCTGATGGGGCTACATAAATTACTGCCTAAAGTCTTGGGTTACAGTTACTATGTTGCAATATGTGTCAGTTACTGTCTATTGACAACACGTTTATTATACAGTCTACCATTTTATGTGTCCCCCGAGGAGTGAAAAACATTTGTAATGCAGTAAGCTAGTGTGTTTTCCAACCAGTTAATTTCTGGCGGCCGTTTTTCTTACAAGCAATCATATATGAAATTCATATCCCATTTTCATTGTCTAATCACTTAAAGGTGTATTCCTCGATGAAAATACTTCCTTTTAAACTAGATTAATATGAGACAAGTATAGCTAAGCTGTTTGTTGACTGATTTTCCAAAAAAGAAAAGAAAAAGAAAGTCTAAACATTGTTTTTCTATGGCGTGCTCTCTTAACCACTGGGGTGACTTTGGGGCGGAGCTATGTGTTTGCTTGACCAATGGCAGATGGCTGAGCATTCACGAAACCTGTTTGAATGTTGTTGATTCTATTAGTGTGTTTAATAAAATCTTAAATTATTTAATAATTTTTTTAAGTTTGTAAGTACGTGTTTTTGGTTAAAGTACTTAAGAAGAACTAAGTCATTGCTGATTCCAAACACTGTCTCTGTGGCATTTTCAAAACATTTCTCTATTGTTTGAGAATTCTGACCAGCATTGCACAGCAACACAGGCTCAACCAATGGGGTGAGTTTGGGGCAGAGCTGTGTTTGTTTGATTAATAGCAGACAGTAGAGCATTCGGGAAACCTGTTTGAAAGGTTTTGATTGTATTGCCACTAGGGCTGTGCAAAAAATCGAATGCGATTTTCATGTGCATCTCGTCAGTAAAGCCGCTCCTGTGATTAGTAGTAAATCTCCAGCATGTGCGTTCAGATGGAGCGGCATTTACTACACAGAGCCGTAGTTCACTGACAAGCTACACAAAAGCGATTTTGTGTAGCTTGTCAGTGAACTTGCCACATTAAATATGATCTTTACAAATTAAATGAACAATTTAATTACGTTCTGTGTCACTTAATGTAGTTTTGAATGTGTGTATTTTTTAAAATTACATTATTCTATTCAAGTCTAAAATGCAAAGACAACGTTAAGTTAGTTGCTTGTAAATTGAATCCCACACCGAGTAAACACTGTCTTTTAAAGCATTGTTCTTTGTTTGAAAATTCTGACCAGCCTGCATAGCAACACTGACTCAACCAATGGCATGAGTTTGGGGGTGTGGCTATCAGTATAACCGACCAGCGACATACAGGGGGCGTGTTCAAGGAAACCTGTTTGAAAACAAGCAGCACTGAAATTACTCACTTCAGCTTTAACAGACTGTTGTTGGTTATTAATTCACTTGTCCAATCTACACAAACAGCAAACCAACACGTATGCACTGTATGCACTGCACTTTTCAATTATTATTCCTGTCTATCAGCATGACATAATTCTTTTTTGTTGTTGTTGTTGTTTTAGGTGTCCGAATCTACTCTCGCTGACTCTGTCTGGATGTGGGCACATTACGGACCGTGATGTTATTAACGTGCTACAAAGCTGCAGGAGGCTACACAGCCTTAGTCTAGAAAACTGCGCTCGGATGACTGACTCTGTCCTCCAGGCTGTTGTGGACCACGGCCACAGTCTCACAGACATGAGGGTGGACTTCTGTCGCAACGTGACCCAGGCAGGGCTGCAGGAGGTCAGGGACAAGAGACCAGAAGTGCACCTGAGCGCGTTACACAGTGCCGATATGATTCCAGACAGCAAGCCTGAGGAGAAAACACAGATCAGGAGAGCTCTGCAGAAGTTCTTGATCTTCTCCTGACAGCTAGAGGTTACCTAGAGACTTCATGTCAAATTGAGGTTCACAACACTGTCCAGTGCAATTATGGTGCAGTTTTATTTTTTCAAAGTTTCCATGAGAGTCAGTCTTCATCTCTGAAGTTTTCATTCCAGTTTCATTCGATTTCATTTTCCTTGTTTACATTCAGTCTTCCAACCTTTCTACTACTTTATTTTATCAGCAAATTCATTCTCCTATCAAACTCATTCTTTGTTTCTTCTCTGGGTTGTTTTTTTATTTGTTTGTTTGTCCATTTGACTCCATGAAATGACTCAGCGGTCAAGTACACAGTACAAAGGCTAAGTATTCAATATGCAGGGCAGTGGCCCAGTCCAAAAATTTCAACCAAATCTTAGGTTTTGATAATAAAACATTTGTGAACTCTGTGAAATACTTTATGTATTTATTAAAAGCACAGCATGTTTTGGTTGCATAATCTAGTTCTGGAACAACTCATTGCTGGTTATCCTCATTTTCGGGTTTTGGACTTCCTCCTAGTTATGCAAGAACAATATTTGACAGAGCACAGGTTTGCATACAGCCTTTCTGCATGACATTTATTTAGCAATAAGGTACAAGAGGCCATACTACATTGTGAATATAATATATATATATGGTTATATATATAACCAGAGGTACAATATTCACAACACACCATGGCATTGAGTGCCTTATTGCATTTGTATTTAAGTGGCCCAGTCCAAAAATTTCAACCAAATCTTAGGTTTTGATAATAAAACATTTGTGAACTCTGTGAAATACTTTATGTATTTATTAAAAGCACAGCATGTTTTGGTTGCATAATCTAGGTTAGTTCTGGAACAACTCATTGCTGGTTATCCTCATTGCGGGTTTTGGACTTCCTCCTAGTTATGCAAGAACAATATTTGACAGAGCACAGGTTTGCATACAGCCTTTCTGCATGACATTTATTTAGCAATAAGGTACAAGAGGCCATACTACATTGTGAATATAATATATATATATGGTTATATATATAACCAGAGGTACAATATTCACAACACACCATGGCATTGAGTGCCTTATTGCATTTGTATTTATGCATTTAGTGGATGCTTTTATACAAAAGAGGAACAAAGCATTGTTATCGCTTCCATAAAACCATATTTCATTAAGCAAATTCATTCATCTTGTATTATAAAACAGCTGGTTGCTGATTGGTCAAAGCAACATTTCATTCATACTAAAACACGGTATAAGAAAACCTAGCTACCCATAGAGACCAAATATTAACCTCAGTTATACCAAGGAATATATTTTCTAGCAGAATGATGAGAACTTAATGAATTTGCGTCATAAAGATGTGCAATGTGCACGTCTTTTTAAGATATGCAATATAAATACATTTCTGGACATATTTTATATGGCATATTAGCATTGACATTTGCCCGTATATTCAACTCCGTGAATGCACAAGGTAATTTGGGGATTTTTCTACTATCATACATTTTTAGACATCCTACTTCATTTAAAATATTTTAGATGAAATGGGTTGCAAGGAAATACATATTTTTGGACACATAATATTTCTTCACCAATTTGCTAAATTGCTTGGCAACAAAAAAAGCTACATTTAGACTTATTAACTGTATTACTTACAAGTTATTCCAGCTATTAACAAATTAAACATTGGTGCCTTTTATCATATAGCTGTTTTATAACAGCAATAATCTTTTATAGCTATGTTTTATCACAGTTTTATCACAGCATCAGTACCGGAACTATCTGTTTTATAACATTATTTGCAGGCTTTGTGCAGAGGTTTGGATATAAATTAAAGAGCTAATGTCATTTTCATTTTAGAAGATGCAAGGAGACGAGCTGTAGCTTGTCTTAACGGAGAGTTATGACCTAAAGCCTAAAAGAGTTATTTGAGGCCATGTTGGACGTCTTCCAGCGTTGTGATTAGAAACATATTATGTAAGAGCTGTGTAGAAATAGGGTGGCCAGTTTCTGTGTAGTCCACGTGACCACACTATTTTGTGTCGTAATTGCAGCGAAAATAGATGTTCTTGTCTCTTGGAGTCACAGAATTTGTTCTTCCTCTATTATGTCTGTTTGACCTTTTTTAAGTGTATGTAATCCAGTCAAACACACAAGTATAGTTTCCTCAAACCCTCAGGGCATCATCAAGGCTGCATGAAGAACAATCGCACATTCTGTCCCTAAATAGTCCGAAATGTTATTGGAGATAAATTTAGAAAAACAAAATAATTTGTAATGAGTCTTAACAGAAAGTCCCTTGTTTTAAAGCCAACGTTCTCCACAGGATGTTCCTCGCGATGGATTGAAGGCTGGAGGGTGCAATAATATTGGGATAATTTTTTCTTTCCCTCTCATTCCTGTTATCTGTATCTCTTTCCAACTCTCACTCTCTTTCTTTTGCTCAAGGTTTTGTACTCGTCAAGTTACATAAGTAAGGGAAAAAACCTCAAGTAATGCCTTTAATTATGTAATGTCAGTTATCGTTGTAAAAAAGCCTGTGAAATGAAGACACTTAGATAACGTCCGTCTAATCAATGCTTTATAAAAATTCCCATGACCAGGACAACAAGGAGGGCCTGTGACTCGTGGTCCACCCATAAAACTCTCGCCCCAAGCCTGTGAAGTCAAGAAATGGTACTGGCCGTGACATTTTGTAAGACTTCGAGAGGTCAAATGAGTGGCAAAACACGATCAGCATGCTGTGATTGCCTAAATCGACTCAATCAGGTATTTCTTTATTGTGGATGTCAATCCGCTCCAAGTGGTTATGTAATCTGGTTAATGTTTCTCAAGCGTTTGATAATGTCGGGTCCAGCAAACAGATTTAGAAAGGTGGAAAACTTTAGACACTATTTATGTGCACGATCACGTGTAAGCAATTAGGCAATGGAGCCAAGAAACTGCAGTGGCCTTTCAAAGAAAAAAGTTTTTCATGCTACTAACGCCAGAGTGTAGCCCTTGTATTTTCTCAAAACAGAACTAGTTAACACCCAAGGGCAACAGTAAGGTTAGTGTTGATTGGCTGTAGACAGCATTGGGCCTCTAATGTGTGTGATCAGCCTGAAGCTACACTGGTTGCAGTAAATCGTCGGATCTGTGTAGTCTACTATGGGCAAACACAATCTCTGAGGAGGTCATAAAGCACACTTCAACATCTATTTCTTCTGTTTTGTATTTTGAAAGTTTTCAGCCAATGATCAGTATCAGAAACATCATTTAAAAAGCTATGTTTATTTTGATAGAAAACAATCAAACACCTATCACCCACCTAAAATGTTGTATAGGTAGTAATGGCAGACAAACAGTTGCTAGGTCTTGCAAAATATTCACTATTGTTTTTTACGGAGTTTAAAACTTACTTAAAAACAGCAAATTCTTGAGCAATCAATGTTTCGGCCTGTTTTTGCAAACTATGTCAGATATTTGTAGCAAAGTTGTATGAGATGGCAACATATTGTGATGGCAATGTTTGGGTCTCACTTTCTCAGGTATTTTTTTAGAAGGTCGTAAAAGCCAACGTTTAAATACAGCACTGTTACAAACTTCTGGCATTTGTAAAAAAAAAAAGGTCATAAAAGAAGGCAACTTATTGAGACATCAACTTTTCGCCTTTGCAAACTTTGTCAGGCATTTTCTGGAAGGTTGTAAAAGGAGGCAACACATAAATACAGCAATGTTACAAACTTTCGTACTTAAGGTATTTTTAAAAAGATGGCAACGTATTAAAATGTCAATATTTTTGCCTTACTGACTTCATCAGGCATTCACACAAAGGGCCTTAGAAGCAGCCTTTCAGTATTGAGAAAGCAAGATTTTGGTATTTTAAAGTTCATCAGGCATTCATACAATAAAAATGGTGTAAGAGACAGCAATATATTGAGACAGAAATTTTCAGGCTCACAATCTTCACCAGGCATTCGCAAGAATGTCACAAAAGACAGCAACATTTTGAAGGTCTTAAGACCTTAAAAATGTGTGACAAAGCTCAAAAGACCATAACATTGTCTCTTTTTTTCAGGCTTTTGTAAGAGTAAGGAAGGTACATTTAAAATAATTTAATTCTTGAAGATTTTGCCATGCATTTATAAGAAGGTCATCTAAATACTATACATTGTCAACCTTTTTACAACTGTAAGACCGAAATGTTGCCATTTTTATTCGACTTATAAATTCTTTAGAAATGCTCAAAAAATCTTAATCATTTTAGGACTTCTTAGCTGTATGTAGGGCTTTCTCTTGTTTCTTTGTACTTATTCATTCTTATGATGAAATAAATTGCAAAAGTTACTTTAAGTTGTTAAAGAATTGACTTTATTTTGGTTGTGGTATCTCCACAAGTATGTCAAAATAGATAGGAGTTTCATCAAACAAAAGTCCAAACCAGAATTTGTTCTCAGAACAAGAACTTCACTGCCTTACAGAAATTTAGATAAACTTCAAAGCAAATTGTTTGAAATGCATCACAGCCATTTTTGCCAGGTGCAGTCGTTCATGTGGGATTATGAAGTCGCGCCAGATGCTTATAAGACCATATAAGAGCCAGTTTCCTACAGGCGGCCTATAGAAATGAATTATCAGCCTGCATCAACCTGTAAGTGTCTCCACGTGTGGGTTCTCAATGTCTAATCCAGTTCTTGACCAACAGCTCTGTATATGTAAGAAACATAGGCATCTGATAAGAAACCAGAAAGACTGGTTGCTGCAAATAGTGGCATTGATGTATATGCAAAGTCTCGAGTGACTTCCGTTCCCTCACGTTTTTGGTCTGTAATGTATGCTTGCGTTTAAACCCATGGAACATTCTCCTCATTGCTAGGAGAAAATCACATGTTGTGCATATGCCTGTCCTCACATGCTATATAAACCAAACATAAGGTTATGAGGAAAGCTATAAAACAAGCTGCAGAAGGTAATAAATTATATTGAGGATGTTTATTGGTTAGACTGAAGCACATGGGCAAGTTGTGACATAAGATCTGCACATACATGTACAACATACAGTCTCTTTCTCCTTCTCTTTCTCTCCCTCTGGGTGGAGGAATGCAAAGGCAGCTCAGGCCACGAGCTGTTTCGTAAAAACTGTGGGAGGGAAGTCACGTTGTAGTGAAATTCACAGGCTGAGCGGAAAAGAAGGGGAGGGGGAGTTGATTTATGTCATCCAGGAATGGTTGCTGGTGCACTGGCTTCTCTTTTAGACCCCAGCACACATCCATAGCCATTCATACTGCATCTCTCATGTCCTGCAATGGATTTTTGCAGGTCTTTTGGGATTCATAAAATGTAAAATGCATTTTCAAATGCTATGCCTAT